TCTCTGACGCTTAGCTATTCACCTCACTTGAGGCCACTGACAAAATGCGGTTCAAACTGTACCTGCACTCACTTTGTGAGAGGTTAGCAAACAGCACTAAGACACCAGCAGTTAATTTAAGCACAGGGCATGCTATAGCTTTGCAGGCCCCAGAGCCAGTTATTATAGATAAATGGCAATTGTTAACGCTCAGACAATCAAATTACCCCAGGAATTGAGTGTGGCCATCAGGGTGTGTATGGCGCATGTAGGCTGGCTTGGCTGGTCTTAAGAACTCAGTGATGGCTTTTGGGGAGGCTTTGGGCCACACACATGTCACAGGAGGCACACCCCGTCTGGATGGCTGGCCTCTACTATCCTCGTGCTTTGGACAGTGTGGAAGTTCTCAGCCTTTGACTTCATCCTTCAGAGAGCTGTCCCATGGCCAGGCCAGCTGAAATGCTTAATCTAATCATGCATCACAGCCATGTGTCAACCACCAAAAGAGATGACGACTGGTTCTACGAATCTCTGGAAGTAATTAAAATCAGACACATGGGGAATACTAGGCATAAAATATAAAAGGAAAGGTCAAGCAAAGTACATTTCCAAAGACCTCCAGAGCTTCCAACTAAAACTTGGTGAGAAAAAATAAAGTATATGCTGTCAATTTCCTTATAGGTGCAGAGCAAAGTAGAAAGAGGTACAGCGGGGGGCTCTGCGACCTGTCTGCATTACCACAGCAAATCTGTGACTCTTGGGTTTCCAGTCTCTCCACAGCCTTGGGGCCTAGCACACTGGCATATTCAATGAACAGTGATTTTTTTTGTTTTTGTTTTTTTCCGGTACCAGGGATCAAACTCACGACCTTGCACTTGCTGGGAAGGTGCTGTGCCGCTGAGCTAAATCCCCAGGCTCAACAGTGGTATTTTTGAAAGTTAAATTAGCCCACCCCTGCTCTCTCAGCACTGTGGCAGGCTGAGGCAGGAGGGTGACAAATTTAAGTCCATCCTGGAAAATTTAGACTCAGTGCAAAGGCCCTGGGTTTAACCCCCAATATGACAAAAAAAAAAAAAAAAAAAGTTAAATCAGCTGACGCTTTTACTTGCACACGTGCATCTGGTTTAACATCCGGAATAGCATCTTTTGCAGAATTAAACCAACGTGTTTTGTAAACAAGAGAGAGCAATGTAATTCAAGTATGGTTCACTGAACCTTTTTCCCCAGAATCCCAACCAAGTCAGTTTAAAATGTAGATTCCTAGAACCTCCAGAATTACTACCAGAGACTTTTTAAAATCATAACCTGTATTGAGCCATGTATTCAACATCAAGATTGTGCATGTGTTTTGTAAAACATGTTATTTTACCCTTCCATCCCCTTCTATTTTGTGTGTTTAAACCGCTAGCCCAGACCTATAGAACTGCTATGCTGGGGCTTTTGGTGGCAGCCTCAACCATGGAAAGCATCAGTGCGCCAGAGATAAAGGAAGTAGAATGGCAGCCACACAATTAGTAGGAAACACTTCAGGCTCTGTGATGCAGAGAAGGCTTAGTAATTCCCCACCTTTTCCAAATTTAACAGGATGTGTTATAAATCCAGCTATCTACCTGGATGGCTGTGGGTATCAAGCAGTGATTGCAGGCTTCAGTTAAAGCTCTTGTGGTGTCCACAGCCTTGGATCTGCTCAGGAAACATCACCTCCACAGGAAGGATCACCTTGAAACCTTCAGAGTTGGGCAAGAGGGTGAAGCAGAACAGTGGAGCTCCTGGCCACGCCCCCAGCCACATCCTCTGGGCCAGGGCTTCAAAGCCTCCCTGCCCCACCTCTCCCCACCCACTGACACCAGGCACCCAAAGGGGGTAAACAGTTTAAAACACTCAAGCCAAGCCAGGTGGGGGGGTGAGGGGTGGAGGGGTCGGGTGTGTGTGCATACACCTAGCTGGGATACCAGCACTCTGGGAGACAGAAGCAGGAGGAGCCCATGTTTGAGCCCAGCCTGGACAACCTGCCCACTTGGCCAGATCCTGTCTCTAAATAAAACAGTTTTAAGAAGGCATGGGGATATAGCTCAGTGTGCAGGCCCTGGCTCAGTCTCTAGTACCTAAATAAATAAATAAATAAATAACCCAGAGTACTGCTTTGCCTCCAATCCTGTGATTTCCTAAGTTCCTAAGTGCTTCTGACTTAGTGAGCCCCTCATCTGCTTCCTCCTGGTGGTATCTCATCTCTCTGCCTCCCTAGCCAGCCTGGCAGATGGCCTCCTCTCCTCCACCTTCATCCCCCACCTTCCTGGCAGTGAAGGAAGGGGCTTAGCCACGCCTCTGACTTCAGGCCGCTTACAAGACCATCTCCCCTCCTCCTCCCAAAGGAGCATTTTTAGAGCCAAAGCAACCCAAATTTTGGAAACACCAGCTCAGGAGGAGTGATGTTCTTTTCTTCAGCTTCTCCAAGGTAGAAAGAAGAGCGGCAGGACATGGGGGAGGGGAAGAGAAAACAAAGCTTCTCCTTCTCTCTTTGACGCTACAGTATCTTCTTGCTATATTTCTCAGGCAGGCCTCTCTTAAAATGAGCATCTTTCAGTTAGTCAACAAACATTTTCTGTGTACCTATGGTGTGCTAAAAATTAATCCAGGGTACAAGACCAGTACCCTGATGGGATATCTATGAGTGAAAAGCAGTGACCAAATAAACAAATAAATATATAATGCTAGAGGGTAATAAGCACTGGGAGGGAAAAATGAGCAAGAGTAGTATAAGGGAGGGCCTAGCTGCCGTTGTACATGGAGCAGTCCAGGAGGTTCCTTCAGGGTTACAACGAGTTACAGACCTGAAGGAAAGTAGGGAATGGGCCATCTGGACATGCAGGAGTCTTCCTGGGCAAAAGAAATAGCAGTGCAATGACCCTGGGGCAAGCACTCAGTGAAAAAGCAAAATATAAGGCCAGAATGGTGGCAGTTAACAAAGACAGTGTGTACGATGGGGGATCTGGATGTCCAGACCACCCGTCCTCTGGGTGAAAAAACCCAGTCCTGAGTTTCTGCAGACTCACCTGAGTCAGCCTCCCGGCCTGTCCCTCCCTGACCCCACCAATACCGACTTTATTGTACCCTTCCCTCCCGACACCTCTACCACCCCAGTCAGCACTCAGGGTCACTCCCTCCAAATGTATCAGTCCGCCTAATTTAACAACCACTGAAGTGATCAACGCTGCGGGGGGAGGGTAGAAGGTGGGGGTGGGGGGACCATGCGCATCTGACCCCAGCTTTCCCTAGGAAGCGGACCACAGCAAAGAGCAGAGGATCAAAAGGCCAGCTGTTCAAAACGAAAAAGCCACAAATTAAGTCTGTTGTGTGTCCACAGGGGATCTGTCTCCCAACTTACACTGAGGCCAGCTCTGTGAAGAGGCGGACAAGAATCCTTCAAACAACCTTGGGAAGCAGGTATGGAGGTAGGAAAAACCCAGACCCTAGGGGAGTCCCTGAATAACAACTTGTAGCCTTTGCCATCCAATTAAAAGTGCCCCGGTGTGGAGTGGTCCTGCTGGTTCCAGGTTGCTCTCTATGATTTGATGTTTAAATGTAGCTCATTCATTGCTTTTCTACACAGAAATTTTAAAAACACTAAGACATCCTGGCACAGTCCCACCACCCCACACCCAAGGGACTGGCAGCGCTAAACAAGGAGCCTTGCCTCCGAGGGAGAAAAACCCATTCTTTTTTTTATTTTTATTTTTTTTATTTTAAGGATAAAAGGAGGGAAACATTAACAGACATACAACATTTTACAACATATCACAAGCACAATACAGACAATACAGAGTTACAAACAAAGTGGTAGGGAATTAACAATGGTGGTTGTATTACATATTGATATCTTCAAAGTGGCTTCTCATGAAAACAGATATAGACATGCAATACTGGTCGAAAAACCCATTCTTAGGGGCTCCAAAATCTCAACCCTGACCAATTGAGTGCACAGCCTGCCGGCCCGCTGTGGGAGGCCTGCGGTCTTGAGTACTCGGTGTCATAAAATACGTCCCGGGAGCCTCGGGAGCTGTCCAGAGGCCCTTGAAACTGTCACCACAGGGGATAAAGCCCTGTGGTTTCAGGTCGTTGCAGATCCCTGCATGGCCAACACCCCGCCCCCAGGCGGCCAACTTCAAAGGGCCCCCAGGCGAGGTGGTTGAGCGGGAAGGGGGCGTCCCCGCTCGCAAGCCCCCTGCGGTCGATGTCACCCCGCGGACCGCGGTCTGTCACACACGCACGCGCCCGGGAACACACACGCACACGCGCACACACACACACACACACACACACACACACACACACACGGCCCCGCGCGCGCCCGCGTCCCAAGCACACGCGCGCACCCAGGCCAGCAGAGTTCTCGGTTTCCTCTTCCTCAAAGCTCCCCGGCGACCGCCCTTCTCCGCACGGTTCCGGGACCCCCGGTGCTCCCGCGCCCAGTGTCTGAGAGGCGCCGCCCGGTGCGTCCCCTCACCCGCACCAGGGTCGCAATCGAACCCCCTCCCGCCGCCGTCCGGATCCCCTCCCCGTGGGGACCTCCGCGCGCCGCCGGGAGGCGGGCATTTACTAACACCACCCCCCATGACGGCTGCCCGGAGCACCCCCTCCTGGTGCCCCGAGCCCGTGTCCCTGTGGCCCCTCACAGCGCCTCCCGGGAGCGCACTCGCCAGCCAGATTCCTTCCATCGGCCGCGGTGGCCGCGAGAACCCCGGTCCCCGCCGCCAGCCGGGTCTCGGCCCCAGGAAGCGGGGCTCAGGGTCCCAACCCCACGCTCCGGGCGTCCCCGCCGCCCAGCGCCGGCGCGCTCCCCGCCAGCAGACGCGGGCGCTCGCGGCTCCGGGACCCTGCGCTCCATCCCCGGTTCCCCTCCCTCGGACTTGCACAACTGCAGATCGGCCCACACCGGTGGAAACCGAAGTGTCCCCGCGGCGCCCCACGGTCGCCCACCCAGCCCCGGCCCCGGCCGCACTAGCCCGGGAAACTTTACGAACCTGCCGGGGGTCGCAGGACTGCGCTGGCGCTGGGGACCGTTCCGGGCGCGCAGAGCTCCGGCGACCGGTGGCCGGAGGCGGGGGTTAGGAGGAAGAAGAAAGGAAGCAGGGGACCCAGCGAGGCTCCGCCGCGGGTTGCGGCCGCTATCCCGCGCCCATGCTCACGCGCCCCGCACACGCACTTACACTCTGGGGCGACCGGCTGCTGCGCCGCGGGCGGCCGCTGGTCTCACTTCCTCTTCCTTCCTCCTGCTGGCCGGAGACACATCTTGCATCTGCAAGCCATCCCGCGAGCAGCCGCGAACTCGCCGCCCGGGTGCACACAGCGCAGGGCCACCTGCGCCCAGACGCCCCTCGCCCGCGCCTGCCGCCGGGCCTCCGCGCTCCGCTGAGCTGGGGGTGTGCGCAACTTTCGGAAGCCACGTTACTTAAAAAAAGAGAAGTGCCACACACTGGGCACGCCTCGTAGCTGCTATAAATACAGTGTGTGTGGAGCAGACTTCTCTGGTGAGCTCAGACAGGGCGTTTGGAGGCACTCATTCACTCCGTCACCCTCACAGCGCCACCTCGGGAGGCATCTTTTCCTTTGCAGTTCCTTCCGGATTTTAAGGGGAAACTTCAGTGGGCTGCTTTGAAGCAACTTGAAGAGACCAGCGTGTTTATTTTGACGCTGCGCCTTTGCCCTCGGGTCACATGGCAAAAAAATAACAGAATATTTCCTCCCTCTCCCCAGTTACCTTTGTGTTTATGGATGCTCGCGTTGAAATCACAAGATTTCTAAGCCAGGGAATCCCTAATTTTGCATAAAGTGATAATTTCTACGCAAGCACCTCACTTGGTATTTAGGTTACATTATTTAGTTCATGCAACCCACTTCAAAACAGTAGCAGAAATCAAACTCCCAGCCTAGCTGGCAGAGGGAAATGATGGTTGTTGGAAGGCTCCAAAAAAAAAAAAAACACCTGTCCTCTCCAGATTCAGACGTCTCTGCCTTGGCTGGACTGGGAAAATTCAAAGACAGTTGCTATGCATTTCCTTCTAACAGGCAAAGGAGATATGTTGGGGGCTGGGGAGGCATCAGAATCCAATAGAGGAGGCAAAGCTCCCTTTTAAGAGCCAATCCTCCCCTACCCATGAGATTTGAATTTAACCCTGTGCCAGGAGTCCATCAGCACCGAGGAGCCACAGCCACTGCTGAGCCCTTGAAAATGTGGCTAGTCCTGAGATGTTCCAAGCACAAGGACTTAGTATGAAAGAAAGAATGTAGAATAGCCTAATTGTGTGTACATCAATTACATCATTTCAATAAATACTTATCCTCTGGTTTGGATGCAGTGAGTCATATATATATATATATGAATGTATATAATTAAAATTAATTTTCACCAGTTCCTTTTTACAACTTAAATCTATGCACTAGAAATGTCAAATTACCCAGGTGTCTGTCATTGGTGACTCACATTATATTTGTAATAACAGCCCTGATCCAACCCCTTATTATAGGTATAACACTAGGGACAGAATTAGTAGCAGGAATGCCTGGATCCAGGTGGTTACAAGTTAGTAGCTTAGAGCAGAATGATCCTAGGAAAGCAACTGAGTTCTGTATTTCCTCACCCATGAAACAATAATGGTACAGTAATAACAGGCAACAGGGCAGCTATTAAAGGAGGTTCTTTAATAAACTATAAGAGTGGAGACTTTACTAGTGAAGGAGTGAGAAGCTTGTAGTGATAAGTAGGAACCCAGGCCACAACTTTTTAGTGAATTCTAAGGCATATAAAGACTCTTAACTGTAGTGGAGACATCATGAGCACTGCGTATCTGTGAGCTGTCATAATCGTCCCCTTCGAGCACAGCAATGAGAAAAACCCACTTCCCTGTAACCTGTGGTCCCAGCTCTGCCCTCTGCAGTCAACATGGAGTAAATCATGTCCTTCCTGAGGGAGATAATTCCTCAGACCTTTGATGATAGCTCTCAGATTCAACCTTAATATTTTCTGCCAAGGATTAACCATTCTCAGTGACTGACTCCTTTCTACATGTGACGTGGTTTCAGATCTCTTTCACCTTAGCCATCCTCCCACTGAAGGACACCTGCTCTAACTTTTAAAAAATCACTTGTGTTATAGAGCAGTGGGGGTGAACCTATGGACAGGCTGTTTGCATCATTGAAAGCTCTAAAAAATTCACTATCACTGTATGTAGAGAAATCACCTAACTAGCCATTAACAAACACAGTGCAGGCTGAATGCTTGTCAATTTTTTTTTCAGGACTAGGGATTGAACCCAGGGCCTTAGCACTGAGTTGTAACTTTCCCCTCACCCCACTCTACACTTCTTTCTTTGAGAAGGAGTCACTATAAATTGCTCAGGGTGAGATCAGACTTGCAATCCTCCTTGCCTCAGCCTCCCAGATTGCTGGGATTGTAGGTTCAGCTGCTTGTCCCTCATTTTTTAAATCAAATACAACCCATTGTTCATCCAACTGCAAGGTGAGCATTGGAAATCTTTTGCTGTCTTACTCTTAAATCATATCCATTCTAATGGAGTTAGTCTTCAGGGCCAAATCCCCTCATCCATCTTCTCTGCATCTCTTTGGATTTGATTCAGGCATCCAATGTCTTTCTTCATCCATAGATTAGGTAAAAATATTCAGATGCCATATGATACCCCACTAAAGAGCTCCCAGGGGCCCCTCTGAATGTTGGTTTTTTGGACCTTTTAGTTAATAATAATACTATTAACAGTGCAATCTCCAATCTCATTTCCTCTTGCATATGTAAAGCTATCTCCCAGATGCTGTTGTGTCCAGCAGTGGCATAGTAGCATGGACAGTGTGGTGGTGTCATGGACAAAGGCTGCATCTCTGGATGAAGCTGTTCTTGATATAAATCCTAGCACTGCCTACGCAAATCACTCAGCTAGTGCATAAAAACCACTCTTAAATGGTAGGATTGAGCAAGCACTAAATGAGTTCATTCATGAAGTTCTTAGAATAGAGCCTCGTCCATAAAAGCACTCAGTAAATGTTAGCTTAGCTGTTCCTAGTGGCTACAGAAATTTTCTAATCAATGGCAAGTCAAGAGATTCCAAGAAAAGGGCAATAACTCTCCCTCTCTACATGTATTAGTTGGTCTTTGACCATAACAAAAGAAAGTGCTACTGTCATTGTCTTTTCAGGTCCAGGTCAGAGGCTGGGTCATTTAATTATCAACTGAGGCTCTAGGAGAAGGAACAGAGTCCAAGTGCAGCCCTCCATTTGCACATCTGTCCAGAAAGCCCACCCAGCTAACATCTAGATTCTGTGCATATGGGTCAACCTTGTTGGTATATCTAGTGTTCAGGGAGATACACTCAGAGGTCCCAGATAGGGCAACCCATCTCCCTCTCAAAATGAGGAGAAGAAACATGAGCAAAGTAGGAACACATGGCCAGAGAGAGAAACTCTAAAGTGTGAATTCTAAACTTCATTCTCAGCCACGTTTTTACAAGAAAGCTTTGCATGGTTGGTGGACGGTAGGACAGGTAAGCTTAATTTGTGTCAACTTGATTGGCTTTGGAATCCACTCAAGGGATTGGTAGAACACACTTCTTGGTGTGTCAGAGTGGGTCATGGAAGTATGGCCCTTGGAGTCAATGTCTAGTCTCTCATCCCTTTTTCTCTGGCACTGTTCCTCTGTTCTGCTTCTTGGCTGCAATGAATTAAGCAGCTTTGCATTACCATACCCTGCTGCCATGATGTTTCTGCTTTGGAGCCACCTGACCATGGACTGAGTCCCCTGAAGCCATGAGTCAGGTTTAAGGTCTCCTGAAACCCTTAAATTGTGGGAATTGAGTATTATGTTTCAGAGATGAAAAATCTGACTAGTACAAAAGGAGAGGTGTTTAGGAAAGTTCTTCAGATTTGAAAACCTTGATCCTATATTTCTTAGACTGTTCTCCTTCCTGCTGTGTTTGGAACTCTAATACAGAAGGAGTGAGTGGGAGCTTATCAAAATGTCACCATGAAACTTTAAGTGCAAAAATGGCCTGTTGTATTTTAATCAATGATGACTCATATTGATCAACTCTTTTCTTTCTAAGTGCTCACAAATATTCATTTATAACCCATTAAATAAAAATACTTATTGGACTTCCAATGGGCCCAATGAATGTAATAATGCATTTAGTAATTTGCTTCAAAAAAATTTCCCCAAATCAACACTAAACTTCCTTCACCTATAGCTTAATGAATCTATTCCCTCTTCCTGTGTTAGCATCCGTCTCCAACTTTCTGCCTCGTTTTCAGTAGCACTTGGAGCTGAGAGTTTGGCCTCAGCTCCAAGAAGCCACCACACCAGGATAATGAGGTCTGGGCAGCTGGCAGCCACCTGCCATGCAGAACCACTAGGGTCAATTCTGGGACAAGCAGAGGGCAGAGAGGTCTGCTGCAAAAGCGCATTTCTTCACTGGGTCATTTGTTAACTCAGTGTGCACTGGATGCCTTAAATGTGAGTTTATGAGGAAGGCAGGGAGGTTTCAGGGGTGAATAAGAGATGCCTGCACAGAATCTCCTGGTGCTTCCATTCTAGCTGAGAAGACAGATTTGATTTTGAATTGCTGAAGATCAAACCTGGGGGCCTTACACATGCTAGATCAGCACTCTACTATTAAGCTACACGTCCTTCCTAGATTTTGCATGAATGTAATAACAACAGGGGAATACAACAGTTGGGGAAAGACAGAAGTTGTAGTACCATATGGACACAGAGATGCTGACCTTGTAAACAAGTCAGGAGTGAGGTCTGTGGGCTTCCAAAAAAGGAAAGAAAATAGCTGTTAATAGAGGAAAACGGTCCCTTTATCTGAACGGTCCCTTTATCTATAGCAATAGTGTAGGAGAAACCTTTAAAAGCCAGTGTGTCTGAAGTGTGAGCACAGTAAAATTAGATTAACAAAAGCAAAAGCCAAAGTTTGGAAGCCCTTGAGGGTCATTTCACAAATTTCAGTAACTTGGATGGAGGTCTAACAAGAATTTGGGTAGACCTAGAGGTTTAAGGGTAATGAAAATGTACCAAAAGCATTTTTGTTCTCTGTTTAGTTTTTTTCTTTTTCTTGGTTCTTATTTTGTTTTCCACTGAAATGCTCTAAGAAAGAGGTTCTCCTTCTCAGATGTTTTTGAAGGTTATTGTATGAAGAAAGAAAGGATTAAAAGGAAGACAAAGGTGTGGGTGAGGAAAATGGTGCCTCATTCTGCTCAGGCTGCCATAAGAAAATACAAAGCCTAGGTGGCTTCAAGAGTAGAAAATTTATTTTCTCACTGTGTAGAAAACTAGAAGTCTGAGATCAGAGAGCCAACTTGATCAGAGAGGTCTCTCTTCTGGGCTGCCCTTAGACATCTCTGCCCTTACATGTCAGAAAGAGAGAAAGAAAGAGAAGGGAGGGACAGAGAGAGAGAGAGCATGTATCAACTGCATGATCCCATCTAACTACTTACATGCCAATGGCTCCATCTCTAAACCCCCTTCCACTGGGTGTTAAGAC